GGGAGGGTCGTGAAGTTCCATTCCGCTTGCAGAAACGCATGCAGACGTAAACACAATCGCCCCGGCACAATGGATTATGTTCCGAACACTCGAGGAACCCTCGTACCAGCTTCGTTCGTCGAGACGGGCCAGTGTCTGAGAAAGTGCAGGGAAGACGGGACCGAGCTCTCTCTCTCTCTCTCTCTCTCTCTCTCTCCCTTCCATCTCACCTCTCCCCCCTCGTGCAGGGCTATCTATGGAGGGCACGGTCGAAAGATAAATAATTTTGCCTGAAAAGCGTTGCCGGAAGACAAACAGACAAAGACACGATGTCTCGAACGAACGAACGAACGAACGAACGATGAAAGAAAAGAGCCATACGGTGGTTGGCCCCATACCGCGAGAGTTAAGTTAACCACCGCGACAAATACCGCAAAACAAATTTACTCGATAAGAAATGTTTATTGGCCTTGGGGGGAGGGGACGATATCACGTTATTTCTGCGACGTTTATTTTAAAATTAAATGGGAGGGGAAAAAAAATACGAGCATCTCGATCATCGTTCTACCGGAAATATTCGTATTCTATTATATCGTTGATATAAGAGACGTGTATAGGGAGGGGGGGATTTCACGAATTAATCAATGTGAACGATTTCTAGCCCCTTGTTGCTAGAATGGCATTTATAAGAGGAGGGTTCTTCTCTGTGAATTCATAAATTATAAAAAGGAGGGGAGGGGAGGGGGGCGATACTCGAAACGTCGGAGCCTTCTTCTGTAATGGATACCTCCTCGCAAGGGAATCACGCGTAAGGAAATGATTGTAAAGCAATACGGAAGGAACGACTTCTTATTGTGAGATTTCTCGAGTAGGATGTTCCTTGTTGAAACAGAAGACGGAACCAGAAGGGTGGCAAAGTAACCACGAGGGGTCCATGGATAAAGCACTCTATACACAGCTCTCTCTCTCTCTCTCTCTCTCTCTTTCTCCTAGTCGTCTCCTTTGCTCTCCCCGTGGACCAATTTACGGCACCCCGAGGACTCGGGTATTACGCTTCACGCTTGGGGGTTCGTTCCTGGCCATTGTTGTGCCAGTCAGGGGATTATTTCGGCAAGGACGAGGGATGCTTTCCCAGTTGCAGTCGTTTCCCTCGGTTACCTATCCCTCCCCCCCTCCCCTATCCTTCCTCAGATTATACGTTCCCTCGAGCACCTGCATCCGAGCTAAACCGTCCCGTCCGATCTCACTTTTCTCTCCTTCTCTTTTCTTTTTCCAAAGCGAGAAAGAAGAAGAAGAAGAAAAAAAAAAAGTGGAAAAAGAAACCGAGAAAGATCCAACCGAGGCTATCTTCGCCGATTAATTCGCCTCTGATATCGAAAAGAAAACCATTTAACGTAATAAGCTACTACTTCACTTCGGAGAGTTCAGACCTCTGTATATATCTCTCTCTCTCTCTTTCTTTCTCTCCCCCGAATCCAGTCGACGATCGAGAGACCCATTAAAAACTCTTACAAATAGCAATTATAAACGGGAAGCCGGCGATAAAGAGCGTTCGTCCATTTAATTATCTCAGTCTTATTGAAGAGGAAACTAGGCGAGCGTGCACGGGCAAATCAAATCGTTTTATCGGTATCCGTTCCATGAACCTTAACACAGTACGATTCGACGAGACGGGTGGGTATCGTTTTTTTCTTCTTCTTTTTAACGTTCTCCAAAAAGTTTTTTATCGGAATCAGTCCGCCCTCCGATTCTCTCTATCTCTTTTTCCCCGCTCCTCCTTCCTTCCTCCACTTTCCCACTCCCCTCCTTTCGTTTTTTTTTTATTTCGATACCAACGCCTTCTTTCGATATCCCAACGTTCCCTTTTTATCGACAAGATTTTTTACAGCCGTCACGTACACCATCACGGGTTCCGTAGTACCAGTGGTAACAACGAGAGCGACAGACGTAAGTGAATCTCGAGGGCGTCGGTTCAGAGAGTCGACAATGGAACAGACAATATGTCGCGTCGCATAGGCATGCGAAGCAATACGGGGAAAGCCAATACGCGCGTCCCAGGTGCCGAATAAACTGTTATAGGAGGATACAATTTGGCCGTACTACATGGAGTTTGGTCGGCCGGTCTTTCGCCGATACAGTAGGTCGCGCGAAACGATTTTTCCGGTCGTCGCGTTCGTTCAGCTCGTGTAATTGTATCAACGGGCAAACGCACAGATGTGTAGCCGGAGTCAACGTTTCAATCGGGCTTGTACAATCGAGTATAGGGTACGCGTAAAAAAAACGAGGCCGACGAGAGAGAGAGAGAGAGAGAGAGAGAGAGAGAGAGAGAGAGGGAGAGAATAAAGAAACAAATTTAAAAAAGAATATAAGAGTAATAATGCCAGGCCGTGGAACGAAGCAAAACGTGGAAATTAAAACAATCGGTTCCTTCCCCTATCTCCCTTCTCCCCTATCTCCCTTCCTCTTTCACCGTGGTAAACAAGAAGCAGCAGCGTGTAATTACCGCGAGATCGCGATTCCACTCGGCCAGGAAACGTATAATGGGAGTATAATGCGTGAAATTTACCGGGCGCATCAGCATAATGGACGACGTGACGCTCAAGATATCACTGTGATTCCATATTTCCGTGCCGACAGCGCAACTCGATTCGCCTCGGCTCGCATGTCCCGCAACGGCGTGCCTCGAACAACGCATTACCATGTGCAGCGTGGCGTCGAACGGCTTCGAAGCTTAAAATCGGCCTGATTATCATTCCACGCTGCTTACAAAACGTTTTCCCCTCCCCCACTCTCGTCCGACTCGAATGTCTTTGTTTGCTTCGTGAAATTCGAGCATGTAGTTTGCGTATATTTTTCGTATATACGATAAAAAGAAGGAGGAGAGAAAAAAAAACGAAAGAAGCGAAATAAAAATAAATGAGAAAAAACAAAAGAGAGAGAGAGAGAAAAAGAGAGAGAGAAAAAAAGAGAAAACATTCGATGATATCGCGTATTCGATTTCATCGAGTTTTCAAAAGTTTTTTCAGCTGTGCACGCAGTGAACCGCGTTTACAGAAGCGTCGAGGCAAACGGGCCGATTAAACGCATCAATATTTACCGAATCAGGGCCTGTCGCGAGCGCGTACCACGGTTTACAGAAGGTTATGTTCACCTATAATACAGTGTGTAATACGCGAGTGTTTCATCACCAATGCTCGACTCCCCTTTTTTCTTGCGTGTGGAAGAGGCAACTATGTCTTTCAACCTTTTCTATCCAACTCCCCCCCCTTCGCTTCTTCACGGCACTCGACACAGAGCCACCTTTTTTCCACAACATTGTCACCGCCTTTCGAGGGACAGCCTCGACTCTTTTTTACCGGAGCTGTTTTCTCTCTCCCTCCTCCCCCTCCTTTTTTCCCCTCTTTGTTCGTTCTCGTTCCGCTCCATCTCTGTCTATCCGCCGCATTTCTCGCCTTCCTTTCCCCCTCCCCCCCGCTGCTCACCACGTGCTACAATATCGCCGGGCCGCATCCGGTGTAACGCCTGTTATTAGGGATGGGCCAGATGAAGCTTTCATTATTCTATCCAAGAGGGTCTCCCTTTCCATCCGACAACACACCGTTATAATACAAAGTAATGGCTGATTTTTTGCTTTCGCCTCTAATTATTATGATTATCGGGGACGAGGGCAGATATAATGGCAACGGTGAATGATGTAATTTTTCCCTGGCCGAGCACACGTTGCTGTTACGTCTCCGCGTCAACCCTAAACGCGAAAATATCGTGTCCGCCGGTGCTGCCTAACACGCATGCCCGCGCGTTTAATCGCGTTGAACGATGACGTCCACACGCCGGTGGATCATCGTCATCGTCGGAATAAATGCAATAAATATATCGCGTACATTTTCGTCACGCTGTTTCGGCTTTCCATCCTCTTCCAACCGTTTATAACATCCTGTTCATCGACCGGCAAGAATTTCAGTGACTAAACTCGCCGTGAAACTATGCTTCCACGATGCGAATGTACACACGCGGCGCGCACAATCTCAACCAATCTTGTGCATCGTTGCGGTTACGTACGAAAAGCGAGACGGTTTAATCATAACGGATATTAAAGAGGCCAGATGTTAGAAATTTATAACGGAAGAGAAAAAAAATATTCTTGCGTATAATAATCGATTCATGGATCTTCGTCTTCGATTCACGGATCAATAGGCTGCACAGCCTATCGAAACGGTTTTTACACGGTTAACCTCGAATTCGTGACAGGGTTTGCGGCCGCGCGCGCAAACACGCTCTTACCGCGGACCGATATCTCGAAATCTCGAAACGAGTCGGGGAGGTTATACACGTATATGTATGCGCGCACTCCCAAAGGCACGTGTATCTGACACGTATACAGCATATACATGTAACGTACGCGCGGAACCATGATAAATGTGTATACCGGGACGCACGTGACCGCATCAACGGCGACGAATGAGGCGCGCGAAGAAACTATCGGTTCGGATCGGTATTATCACCGAGTGTTCGACCAAGATTGCTCTTTCCATTTCGTTCAGGAAAATGTTTTGACGCGAGTTAATCGTGTCCCTTGTATAATACGGGTGTAACAACGGGTCTCGTTCCGTAATTGGCTGGTACGCGTTTGTAAAAATTCGAATGGTTAGAATTAGTAATCGGATCGACGACGATCGTCGAAAGGTGTTACACTGGTTTCTACGCCGCTGAACGTGATCGGAATCGCGCGCAGTACGCGCAACGCCGTACACGTGAAACTCGAGTTTCAAGTAGCACGAGTTCGCCTTACGAGGTACATATCGTTCAGACCGCGTATAATAAAGGCGTAACGCATCGAAAATAGCGCCTTGGGAACGTTTTCGAGAAATTATAACGATAACGAACTACGATAATCTACCACGTTATTCCATTTGTGAAATTTCATAACGTTCAATAACATAGAACGCGATAAAAAGTGAAAAATTTAAGAAATCAACGAAATAAGAAGGATATATAAAGTTTGGAAAGAATAGATTACTCACCGGATGCCTGGCAGCAGCGGCAGCAGCTACAGCAGCAGCGTTGATTCCAGCACTAGGATACATTTTTTTTCTCTGGTTTCAAAACAGTAAAAAATACAAACACCGTGTCCTCGGATCACGTATGCTTCATGTCACGCGGAACACCAATGATAACAAATAACAACAACAACGATAAACTAAAAACACCACGATTCAAATCGCCCGCGTGGGCTACGAGGACGAGCGACCTTTAGGACGATTCTGTTCGCGGTTCTGTCGATATGATTCAATTAAGAAGGTCCCCGCCTCGGATACACGACGATGATCCATCGGTGCATTTGCCATCCACCACTACCGCATTCTCATCCGTAATTTGTAACTCCACGATATTGAATGATAACTACTCGTGTCACCATTTATTTCGACCGCCTTCTACGTTCATCGAGGTTAAACGTGTCGCCGACGCCACGAAGAATCCCGCACGGAGAGCGTGGCGTGCCCTTTATACGGTCGGTAAAACAGAGCGAGAAACGCGTTAAGAATAATCGGAGAAAGCTTCTTCTTCCATCGGATTAAACGAAAGAAGAGAAACTATTTTTCCTTTCTTCCTATCCACGATTTCACATCCTCAATGTGGAAACACCATCACACAAAGACACTGCACTCGGTTGTTTACGACCTAAACAGTAACTCGCCGCCACTTTGAGGTTAAGTTTACCAACACTAGCACGCACACGTCTTTCCGTTAATACGCGAGAAAACTTTTTGACACCGATACAGCACGTTTGGCAATTAAAAAGCCGAAAGAACAAAAAGAAAATTGAACGAAACTGACGTACGCAACGTGAAAGCAAACACGAAACGTTAAACGCACAGACGCAACAAGAACAATCCTCTCTCCACAACGGCCTCAGAGCGACTGATGGACGAGTAAGTGGTGGGGATGGTATCCCCTCCGAAGCAATCTTTCCCTTCCCCCACTCTGGCAGGCCGTTACTCCACAGTTAAACCCGCCAAGCACCCCCTCGAATGTCTCTCCTCGTTCTCGACGCTCGTATTAACCGGCGCGATAGCTCCTTCACAATTAAGTCGCGTTACGTAAGGGTCTCGAAAAGGCGAGCACGAAAATCACGGCTCGTTAAAACGTCGGTACGTCCTCCTTCTTTCTCTCTCTTTCTCTCTCTTTTTCTCTTCTCCCTTTCTCGCTTTTTGTTTTCTGGCACTCTCTATTTCATAGCACCTGTCGTCTCTATCGTATACTTAATCTGTTTTATCGGCCAACGACGAGGCACAGATACGTCCATCGTGATTTCGGCGCACTGCTGACGCGATGAGTGATCTGACTATAGCTTTAGGGCCGTTTTAGTTGACCGTAATTAATCGGGTTTCAAATGAACAGTTATATTCGCGTTAAGCACGGCGCAATCGAACAATATACATCGATTCTATTATGTACATGACAACGTGATATGTTTGTTCTGTCCCTCTCGATTCTCTCTCTCTTTTGCTCCTCTTTAAAGTTTTCTCGCTCTATCTCTCTATCTATGAATTATTTTAATGACAGCATTTTTTTCACATTATGTCGACGTTGTGAAATTTTATGCCAGCGTCTACTATTTCTGTATTAATGAAAGATGATTCAACGTGCTCATTTATCAATGTTGATTACGTTCGTTTTTTTCCATTCCACCAATGCTATTATCGCTGATACCGCAGTTAACGAGTGTGTGCAAATAATATTTGTCGACTACATCATTCAACCACCTTTGGAATCTAGACAATTCAAAGTATCAATCTCATGAACGCAATGACTAAGGGAACGCACAATTCTCGGAATACTTTTTTCGTATTCCTGCTGCTGCTGCTGCTGCTGCTGTTTCTGCTCCTCCATTATCTTTACCGACCGGTGCTTCGGTCTAACAGATACAATTGAGAAAGATACATCGTTAGCCCGTGGGCGATATCGTATACTCGAATCGTGTATTCTGTTGGTGTACGGGTCCGACGATTTTTGCAAGTTGAAGCACGAAGACTGGAAGCCTCGAAAGTTTTCGGTCCCGCAGATACGGTCGAATAAACGAGAGGACAGGGCGCGGTACACGGCGTGCCATGCATACGCGTAGGTATTAGTTGCTTCTCTCAGTTCACTCAGCGTGTGCAAACAAATCGAAAGTTTTTCGCAAAATGGCCGTCACCAGGCTGACACGGATGTCCGCATAAACTCTCTCTTTCTCTCTCTCTCTCTTTCTCTTCCCCCTTCTCTCTTTCTCCCGCCCTTCTCTCTTTTCCCGTGCTCTCTCAACTGGCCGCCGACTGGCTGCCTCTCTCGCCACTCGTGATTTCCCTCACTTCCCACACCACCACAAATATGGCGCCTCCACCCGTTTTCCCAACCCCTACAACGTGCCTCTATAAAGTGAGAGCAACGGAGAAAGAGGGAAAGAGAGCGTAAAAGAGAGAGGGAAAGAGAGAGAGAGAGAGAGATCGCGAGGTATGGATAGAGTACATACACGCTCAACCAATGCGATTGTGTCCGAGTATCCGTGTGTAGCGAGTACGATCCTATGCGTGTGGCAAGGGGGTGCCCCTATGTGAATATCGCGCAGCACACAGTCCCAAGCAGTTTCCTACTTGATTGCCGCTATCGTCCGCTCGCTTCGTAAAGGAACTGCTCCACGCGGACTGTCTGTGACGCCTCGACCAACCAGAACGCGTCTAGCCACTACTTCGCCAATCGACAGACAGCCAGCCCCACCGTGCGACTCGGCTGCCGCAAAGAGTCGAATGAAAGCGCGACCTCGGCCAATGAGAACGAAACTTTTTGAATTGACGCTCGTACGTTAGATCCGCGCGGATCGTTGCTCGAGCCCCACGGATGTTCCTATACGGAATGAAGGTGCTACGCGAAGCCGCAGCGAAACATGAAAAATAGGGGGCTACATGAGGAAAAACACGGACCGGGTAGGAAGGAGGAGGGCTCTGTGGGATGGATCCTACGAACCGAGACACCAAAGGCTGGCGCAGTCGTGGTTGTGTGGGGCAGCCAAGAAGGAGGGATGTCGAGGATAGAGGCCGAGGATGAGAATGGAAAAGTAACATAACGAAACGTCGATCCCATTACCTGGAGCTCTCTCGCCCTGCCGCCACCGTGCACCGAGCCCTGCTTTCGACCCTTAATCCAAAGGAGGATTAGAAAACCCCATTGTCATGCTTCGCGGAACGCGGGATGGGATATATACATACATATGTACAGAATAGCACTCCGCACAATTTCTCCCTTCCCCCTGCTTCTCCACTCCGCCTTTCGCTTTGCACACAACGGAGGCGGTGGTGCAGGACCCTCCTAATGAAATAAATACGTGACGTGCCGTGCTAGTGACGATACGATGGTAGTTCTGTTTATCGCCAACCATGAACTTTTTGCACGATGCACAGAAACGCTCAACCCCCCCACCTCTAGCTCGACTACTCTCGTTTTACCGTTTTCCTTCCTTCTTCCGTCTCGTTCTAACTCTGTTCCGTCTGGTTCGCTCGCTCTTTATCTTCGTTCCACGGGGCGAAGAAGGAATATAAGGCAGTGCTGTGGAGTGTTGGCGAAGCTGTCGGTCGCGCTTGGTCGGCTGCGGTTTATGCGGAGCCGCCTTGCCTGCCGCCTGCCGCAGCCGGTTTGCGTGTTCGCCCGTGTTCGCTCGGTGGATACGTGTCCTCGGTGCGGCTCGGTGCTCACCGAACGACCATGGACGCGCTCAGCTACGGAGAGTAAAGAGGAGAGATCGAGGGAGAAAGGGTGAAGAAAGGAGAGAGATGAAGGCAATGAATGGGAGCGAGACGGACGTATACGACGAAATGCGAGGGTGAGGGAGACGGCAGCAGGCGGCAGAACCAGTCGCTGCGGTCGTCGCGGTTAACCGCGCCGGTGCTCTCAACCCACGGCGACCTCGGTAACCGCACGAAGAATACTGTCTCTCTTCTACGATGCTACCAAGCTCTATTGCCAACTCAGAAGGTGCTAGCTTATTTCTTTAATCTGATTTGCTCAAATTATATTTATCTCTTAAAATTAAGAAAAGTAAATTTTTCTTATTTAATATATATAACACGTTTATCGTTTCTCACGTAAATTTTGATCGGTATATAATATATTTATCCGTCAGATTACATCTACTAATGAATGGTAGTGGTAATTCGTGTACAAATAAGAAACAGACAACTACTTCATGATCTATAATCATGATCATTGTATCCCTTGTGAAAGCAGTCGTTCGCCGCAATGTAAATATTACTTTGGCCGCTACTTCTATTTGTAGCCGTCGGTACGCGAGAATTTCCTGCTCGGAAAATCGCCGGGGAAAACTCGAGGAGTTGGTTTAATTAATTATAATTGGCTGAGTGCATTGGGCAACCGCCTCTTCTCTGACCAACGTCCACTTCATCCGCCGCCACGGGAGAGGGAGAGATCTAAGAGCTCGACTTCTGCTTGAATGAGAGTACGTACGTCTCGCCAGGTTGAAGAGGATTTGCGAGGATGATCGAGCGCTGCGGGCTGGCCATTAAATATATTTGAAAGAGGCATACCGTTTCAAACGGATCTCCGAAATAATTGAACGTCGAATGGCTGCTAATAACGTGCAATTTGTATATCGGGCAAACATCGATCAACCCGAGTAGCCCCGACGAGACAAAAATATTAATCACATTTATTAATTATGGAGGAAATTGAAGGATTGAGAGCATCAAGATATACTTTTAATTTTATTTCCCTCCACGTGTACACGGGCCTGTCGATTCGTGTAAATCGAAATCAATGAACGAAATCGATATTATCGATCGAGTAACATGACACAACATGCTTCGATGTATAACCTGTATATTCAAAAATTAAGGTTCTTGGAATAGAAAAAAAGAAGAATAACGTTCTCCGCTTTCTTCCACATGTTGTCCAACTCGATCTACAATACCCATGGATCGAATGTCTAAACGAAACACGAAGAGGTTAGAATCACCTCTCCCAACCGAGAATCGTTTCCGAGAAGTATTTAACAATGGGCCAATATTTGGTTGGAAAGAAAGAAAAAAAACGTCCTAAAAACTCTCGGAAACGGTCGATTACGCTCGTAATTGCAGCCAACGCTGCGCTAATTTTGCTAACCATGCAATTAGCGAGTTTATTTAAAAAGATCAAAATTAAAAATAACCGAAATAGTCGCAACGAGTAAAATTCGGAAAATTCGTCCTTCGAACAAAAGAACGGAAGGGAGAGAAAAAAACAGAGTATAGAGAGAAAAAAGGCCAAAAGGAAAGGAAAGAAAGAAGCAAAAAAAAAAAAAAAATGAAAAGCAAAAGAAAGAACGAATAGAAAGAAGCCGATAAAGGACGATGCTCGGTCTTTTGGCAAAATATCACGTTGCCACGAAACGAATCTAGCAGGCACACTCACGGCTGACAAATGTCTTCCGCGGTTCTGGCAGCGGCGTACCGTTATCCAAATTACAAATAACACACCGCCGTCGACGTTTTATCCAACGCCCGGAGACAAATTGCTCCCGACTTGGGATGGGTTGGCTCGAAATTATCCCCACCATATACCCGGCCATGGTGTAACCGCGCGTCGTGGACTTCGTTAATACCGGTAGTGGCTCGGCCCCTTGCTCGCCACACGGAATTAACACGGCGAAGTGTATTTATGGATCCGGCCCCGGCCAGGTAACCCGAGAAAGACCCTTGCCAGAGTTTTGCTTCTTCCCCCCATTCTCCCCTATTCTTTTCGCGTTTCCCTCTCTGACCAAGAGCGCTCGGTCGACCAATGGTCGTCGATCTTTCTCTCTCTCTCTCTCTCTCTCTCTCTCTCTCTCTCTCTCTCTCTCTCTCTCTTTCTCTTCACGAAGGAGGATTAATTAATGAGCCTGATCCAAGCATTACCCACTTTACAGAGCCGGTCCGTGGCCTTCGAACCTCGTGCACTGGCGTGGGAATGTCCCTGGCAATTTCAATTTCGTTAATTATCGCAAAATCCGCTT